AACATACTGGTTCACACCAGATTTTGTTAACCCAAAGCCGAGCTTCTGCATGTTCAAGCAGTAACCTACAAGCTGTTCTTCCTCATGGTTAGTTAGGATTTTGGCACGGCCCAGACGAGTGAGGGGACCATCATTTTTGATGGCACATCGAAGGGTGGTTTCAGGAAGACCATAATCTCGCGCGATACTTCTAGTACTTGGAGCTAAGTCACTTGGTAAGTTTTTAATTGCCTTAAGGGCATTATTGATGGCATTATGTCAGGTAGTATAGTCACTATACTTTGGCATTGTTTTATGTTAAGACTTTTGGAAATACAATAAACGATTTTAAATGTTTTTATTTTTTACTTACGTAACAGTGTTAACGTTTAACTATTTATTGTTATGATGCATGGCCTTTTATATTACTTATGAGATTACATGTGATGTCGTAAATATTTACGATCAATCATTTATTTTTTGGGCTAAATAAATTTTAAAACACGTGGGGGTTTTTTTTTATTTTACACGAAGCATGCTTTTACTTTAATTATGCTTTATTATCTTACGCGCATCGTGTTTGTGACATTTTGTATACATTTTAATGAGACTAACATGCTACGAGATTAAATAGGTCTTAAAAGTTACCCGAATTGGATTCGAAGGGACAATTAAATGTGCCCAAGTATGCAATTGAATGTACTCAAGTATGCAATCTTAATAATGCGCAAATTAATTACAAATACCCTATTAATGGGTAATTAAAATATAAAAATATGTAGGATTTATCGACATTAACAATTCGAATTAATGTAGCAAGTTTTATATGTAGCAAGTTTTACAAATCGGTCTTTAAGATGTTGATACATTTTCTTGTTAGGATTTTAAAGAAAGAGACTTTACACGAATGACGATATCTCGTGATCCACTAACTGGAATCACGTGGTTTCAGTACCGTTCGATTCGTCTCATCGAGATGAATCTAATGGTACCAAAATCGCACGATTCCAATCAATAGATCATGAGATATTGTAAATGCGCCAAATTAGGCACTGCACCAAATTAGGCATACTCACCTTATATGCTAAAATTAATATTACAGATTAAACAACAAACGTGAACTAAAAAAGAAGCTTTTAAGATAAATCAAAGAACCAAAGAATTTAGAAAATATTTGTAAATAATAAATTTGAAAGACTTAGATAATTTTTTTTAAAAAAATAAAATAGTATAGATTTTATACAAATAGAAAGGTTTTAAAATATATTAACTGGCTTTAACAAATTTTTTAAAAAAGAATCAATAATGTCTATTTAGAATAATTTACAGATAAAAGTTTTTCTAGCAGCTTTAAAAAGTACTAATATTATTTATATATCTCTAAATTTTTATAACAAACTAATATTTTTTTATATTATTGTTAGTGCTAAAAGTAATACAAATTGGTATAACTTAGTAAAAATTAATTACAATTTTATTTTTTATTTTTTTATTTTTTTAACCTTAAGCAGTTACGCTAATATTTTATTAAGATTCTTGAAATTATACACTTATACAATTATATAGAATTTCCTAATATCTAAGTCTAGCATCACTCAACCACTCTGATGGTACCTAAGTGCAATCTGCTGCACTATTTTAGTTAAAAATAAACTGCTCGTCTAACTACTTAAAGCCATACCAGAAAGGTCTTTCTCCTTCTGTGACAAGCATATTTATTGTCTTCAAAGCTTCTTTCTTCATTTGGTCTAGCTTTTCTGCTTTTCTTTTTTTCTTTTCTTCTTTTGCTTGTTTATCTTTCTTTACTCATTTCTTTGCTTTTTCTTTTGCATAGCTGCCTTTTTTCATTTTATTTGTTATATTGATCTTTTTCTCCTAGGCTTGTATTTTTTCACATTATACTCTCTATACTTGGTCATAGAAGATGTTCCACACTGTTCTTGTTACTATATCTATGCACTTCTGTGTTGCCTGCTTGCTTAAGAGTTGCTCGAGTCTTTTTCCTACTTTTAGCATCATAAGTCCTTTTATCAACACTCTTCTGTTTGTGATTTCTTCAGCTTCTGTTTCTTCAAATAATGCCTTGTATAGAACTTGTAATAGGATTCTGTTTTTTTTCTCTTCTTTAAGTCCATTCTATGCTGTTGCTGTTGCAACTTTTTGAATTCACTTTCACAGGCTCTTTTGTCTGCTGCAACTTGCTAGATGTGCCTGAGTTTCTTTTTCTCCAACTTGGCATACTTGGCACTTTGCTATTATATATACTTCTAGTCTTCTTTTATTTAGCTCCTTAAGTGTTAGCAGGCTATCCATTATGCATTTAATTGCTGTAGCTCTTCTTGTGCTGAGTTTTCTTGATGTACAATGAACTCCTTTTGTTCTTTCATTTCTTTCTAAAAGCTTGACCAATTATGTAATATGTTTTCTGTATCTGGTTCTAATGTTTGTATTGGATTCATTTCTCTTTAACTAGCTCCTATTCTGGCATTTGCTATTATCTTATATAGAAGTCTTGCTGGTATATTAATTTTCTTGTTTTCCCATTCTAAATAGTACTCTATCTCATCACTTTTGACTTTATCTGCATATATTTTATCTTGGCAATTTGCTTCTTTCTTTGCAAGAGAGTCTGCTTTGTCATTTCACTTGTTTTCACTATGGCTTTTAATCTTGGTTAATTCTATCTTAATGTTCTTGCTCTTGATTAGACCTACAATGCTTAGTATCCACATTGTGTTTTTATTCTTCAGAGCTCTTTCTTCTTCTATATTCTGTAGTGCTCTACTAATGTTTCTTAATACTGCAATGCTATCTATAAACACTTCTACACTTTTCTTTTCTGGTATCATTAAAATTGCTGTCTATATTGCTGCTAATTCTACTATTGTTGCTGAAGGCCAATCTTCAAGTTTCAATGTGATTTCTTCCTCTAGCCAATCTTTTTCTTCTTCTATTTGCACCCAACCGATGCCCATTCTTTCTGTGCTGTTTTCACCTTTCTTCTTGTATAGTGCTCTATCAGTATAAAAGCTGTATTTTCTATTGTCTTTCTTCTTGTTACATGTTAATATCTCTACTAACTGATTTGTAATCATGCTGTTTAGTTTCTGTTTTCTAATCAATTCTACTTCTAATTCTTCTATTTGTCTCATTCCTAACAACTTCCTCTTGTCTCCTTTCCATTCTTCTATTGCTCTATCTTCTTGTATCTGTTCTAATATTGCATTTATTCTATTATTAGCTTTCTCTATTAGTAACTCTGGTATTACTCTCATATTGTGGTCTCATCTTATCTATTTTTCACACTTGTTAGTCATTTGTTCTGAACTGTTTTCACAAACTTTGCATATACTTAGTTCTGTTACTGTCCTTCCTTTTTCTGTATGCATTGACTAGTGTTCTGTTAACATCTTTTTCTTTTTCTTTTTAATTACTTTGTCTAATTGTTGGTTGTGTTTCAGTCCATAAGTAATCCATTCTTTTTTCCTTTGGTCTTCAGATATCTTTGTTCACTTAATCTTTAATGCTTGTGTATTATATCTTTTTACTTTGTAATTATCTTGTATTTTTCTACTCGCTTGCATTCTTAGCACCTTTTCTTCTATCTTTCTAAATCATTTAGCCTTCTTTCTTTTGTATAACAGGCCTTAAAGACTCTTAAGCTGTCTCCATGTGATTAGGTTGTTACCTTTAACGTCTATGAGTTGGTTCAGATATAGTAACCCCCATTCATTTATTGTGCTACTACTTGCTATCCATGTTTTTGTTTTTAACATGTCTTTTATCTATCTACCATAACTGTAAACTTTCTATAGAGGTTTTTTTGCTTTAATGCTTATTCTTATTTCCTTTGCTTTAGCTATTGTTTAATAGGCTAAGTTGTTTTCCAAAACTTCTCAGTTTCTATTTTCTTTTTATTGTTCCAAATGTCTTCTGTTAGGCCTGCTTTCTGACATCCTTGAGCTATTCTGAGCCTTGTTAATTCATCCACTTTGTCTCATCTGTTAAGTCTTGAAAAGAGGCTGCTTATTTGTTTTATCATTATTTGTTGACTTAATGTTTTGCAATTTCCTAGATCTTTGTACTCAATTGTGCAATTGTTTGCTGTTCTCATCATATTGCATTTATACTTTGCTAAGCATATTAGTGGTTGGTGAATTTTGTCAATCATTTTCTCTGGCATTTTTGTTATCTGTAAGAGATATTCTAGCTTAGAAATTATTATTGTATTGTTTATATATGCAATTTGGCTTATCATCATTTTTTTGTATCTCAGATCTTTAACTGTTTGACTAACTATTTCTTTTGCTTTCTTATAAACCAGTACTTCCTTCATTCTGCTGTTTAGCCAGATTCCCAATGACCTTACGATTTTGCTTTTGGATTCTTCTCTTATATTACTATGCCTAAATGTGATTTTTCTTTCTTCTTCTTTTATTCTTGTGTTTATTATTATGAGCTTTGATTTGGATCCATTTATTTTGATGTTGTTTGCTTTAAAAAATTCTTCTGCAATGCTTAGAATTCTTAGCATTTGTTCTTTGCTGTTCGTGATCTATGTTGTGTCATTTGCATATGCAATTGCTGTTTGTCTATAACTTGTAACATTATCACTGCATATTCTTTCTGTTACTTCTTGTTCTACTCTATAGCCTAGTGTTTCATCTTCTTGTATCCTTTCTAACAATAGGTCATAGAAAAGATGCCAAATTAATAGTAAGATTACTTCTTCTTGGTCTATTCTATCTCCTGCAGTTATTTCATCTGTTAAACCATAAGTTATAATAACTTTTGCAGAAAATATTGCTTATTTATTCTCTTGTTTTTTGTAGAATTTTGACTCTTTTTAGGGCCCATTCTAGGCTTTTAAGTGGAACTGAATCAAATGCCTTTTTTATATCTTGCAACAGTATCCATATTTCTTTGTTTTTTTCTTGTGCCTCCTCCATTATCATGTTTAGTATATGTATTGGTTGCTTTGTTGAATTACCTGGCAAGCCTGCATAATTTGGTCCTTTGAGTATATTTCTTTCTGTGAGCACTTTGGCTAATCTTCTTGTCACTACTTTCATGACAACTTTCCTAAAGGTCTCAATTAATGCTATTGGCCTGATATTGTTTAAGCAGTAACCCCAGTTTACGTTTTTTGGAATTGGATATATTTGCGCTATTTTCTATTTTTTTGGTATGTCTTCTTTCTCTAGAATTAGATTTGCAAATGTTCTAAAAATTCTTTGTGATTTCTTCTTTGC